CCTTCTACCTGTTTTTTATCCTACTAGCCTTCTACCTGGTATTTTGTGCCCAGAGATCTGGCACTCCAGCCTTCCTCTCTATCTATCCCACTAACATAAGGTGCTGTTGAAAACAAGTTCTTTCTTAATCCAAATGAATGATTGGTTGTCTCACAACAAAGTTCCTCACCCTAGAAAGGTAATACACATAATTAGGTTATTGCTTTGGTTAGTTTTCAATCACAAAAGCAATTATTACATCTTTGTGAAAAAACGGTGTTCAACAACCCCCATGCAGAATATGGATGCTAGGAGCACCATCACATAACTGGGTCTAGATAGCCCAGCTTGAGCAGGGGGATTGGACCAGGTAACTTTCCAACCCCAACCATTTTGCATGTCAGTGGTTTTGTTGGGTGAAGTTGTAGTTATAAACACAGTCTAGCTTTGACAACACCTGATTTTTAGCAACTGCTCCTAAAAAGACTTATAGTCTTGACTTCAGTCAATCCTATGGTTTTCTCTATTCATCAACCATTAATTAATTATTCATTAACCATTTATTACTCATCAGCTTGCCATTATGGGAATTACCATTTGAAACATGCAGTGGAAAAACACATTTTACATGTCCAATACTGTTACACATGCTGGGTGTATTCAGATATCCACATTTGAGACTGTAAGACAAAATCAAGTTTTGAATCAAGCTTTGATATTTTAGTGCTGGTTGTTCTGCAATGCAGCTGTAATTATAAGTATAGCTTTACCCCATAATTGTGTAATGAATTCTCTTATGCTTTTGGGGGTTTTTGATCCAGCTGAATCAGCTAAGAGCTCTGGAAGAAACCGGATTCCTACTGTCTTGTGCATCAGCAACAAAACTCTCGTTCTGAATGTGCAAATCCAAAACTTACATCCCAGTGCTGAGTTTTAGAGCAAGGAGAGGATTTTGTGGCAAATCCGAGGGCCTCCCTGAACCATTGCACATCCTCTTTCCTCTCAGTACTGCTAGAATTTGTCACTAACCCCATCCATCTCCTGTCTACTGGATGATGAATAGATCCATCCAGTGCATACTGCTTAAATTCATCCAGTCATCTAGTTAGAGATGAAATGACGCAACACACACACAAAGTGCTCTCTGCAATTTTAATCTACTTAACCCAATTACATAGTAAGAGATAATGCTGTACATACAACTGCTGAGTCTGCAATGGTGGAATGAGACAAGTGGCAAATCAAAAAGCAGCACTTTCTTTTTTCCTGATAGCTTTGATCAGCTGTCGTGTCCTCAAGCGGGGAGACAATGCTGGTGCTATTATTCCTTCTTTGCTTTTCCTTTTTCTTGTGGGGGTTGTGACTGCCTTTTATTCCTTATCTTCTTTGCATTTTCACTATACAGGGGATATTTTAGCTGTTTTGGCTGTATATTGTTTGTCCTCTTTCTTATGTCTTCTCAAAGTTGCATCACCTTAGTGATCAGTAACTTTGTGACCTGTTCTTATGCTCTTGTGGACCACTGGCATTATCTTGTGCTTGTACACTCTTTCTCTGTGATCAATCTCTCTTTGTATTCTCCATGGCCAATACACACATTGAGATACTCTGTTGCAGACATTTTCAGACTGGATCCCAAGATTACGATACTGTGTGAAACAAAGATTTCTATTTTGGTACCTGCTATTCATTTTCCTATGAGATGTAATTATAGCTCAATACAGCTCTTTTTCTCCCCCCAAAACACAGCAACATCTATACACTAGAAACCACATGACAAAGAGAACAGAGTTGGAATGGGGAAAGATGCAATTGTATGATTTGACAGCAGAGATTAAATTTCATATCTTTCTACTTATAAAAAATAATAATAATCTTATATGAGCAAGCTGTATGGATGCCTGTTTTCCACAACCTTCCAGAACTCTTGACAGGTTCATCCAAAGTGGCTGAAGGTCTGAAAGGTTGGTTGTTCCAACAAGATTCTCAGAAATAAGTAAAGAAGGAAAAGGAAGTGTTCAATGTGTTCACCTCTTAGAAGAATCAGAAAATCTCCACAGCAAACAGTAAAACTACAGGAAACAAGTTTCATCTGCTACCAAAATCCACTGATTTTTATCTTTAAAAAGGTTGTGGAGCTTTTATTTTTCACGCATCCCAAGGTCAGCAAAATTCATACTTCCATGCAAAAATAAAAGGAAGCAGAATTGAAAGGAATCAAAATATAAATTATCCAACTGTGTGCTAAAAATGACACTACCTGTTGCCTGTTTTCCTACTAGAGCTACACAGTAACACTAAATTGCACCAACTCACTATTGAGGCCTGCCTGCAATCTCATAGGCAATGCCTGGGCATGGAGACGTTGTTCAGTATCAGTTGTAGACATTTTAATGTTAAATCCAGAAAATGATCTACATTCATCCCTATGGGCATATAACTGTTCAGTGACATCCAGAAGTAAACCATCTTTTCCATAGTTAGCTGGCACGATTAGGCATTTATAGCAAATAGGGGTATATTGAAAAAGAAGCTCCAATTTTTATACTCCATTTACCAGTGTAGAGCTGATTAAATAGATTTCAGGGCTGAGAGGCTTTATTGCCTGATATGAAGTTGAATAATTTATTCTGGAATTGGAAAAATCAAGTCAGTGCACAAGAAAAATCTAAGATGATGCGCAAATGCAACTTTGGTTTATGTCTTTCTGATACATAAACTTTCTTTTCAGCACTCAGTATATGCAGTGTTGGTATGAAATATCATTTTTGTTTATCCTATATCCATTTCTAACTGCAACTGAAGAAAATGCATCAGTTCAACCCATCAGCCTAAGTTGATGGGTATGTTCTGATTTTCTTCAATGCACTTCAGGATAGACTGTTTATCTTTATCTCTCATTAAACATCTGTGGAGAATCATAAAGCCCTTTAAAGCAGCTAAAAATCCCAGAATTCAATAACACTGTTTTGTTTCTAACTGCTGAGGTTTTTGCATTATATTTTTCACAATTAGGGATACAGCACTTTCAACAAATGTATCATGAACTTGACTATGTGTTGAGGGATATAATGGGCACTATGAATCTACAGTACCACTTAACGTATTTTAAGTGCAGTGTTAGTGATTCAGCTACAAATGCAGCTTATTAATTCTCTGTCTTAAGGATGAAAACAAGATCTAACCAACAAATATTCTTTGAGGCTTCTTGACTTGAATTTGCTTGCTCTACCAATTTGCCTAGAAGCAAAAGCTGGTTTGAATCTGAAGTGTTTTCTTTCTGCAGGACCAAATCTCTTTACAGAGAAACCATTTCAAATTCATTAGCAAGGTAATGCAGGTTATTCAACTTTCTTTTTGCTTGAAGTTTCTCTTTGATTTTCTTTTTCTGTATCCATGGCCTTAAAATTGGTAAAAAATCAAAACATATTTCTTTACTGTAGAATTAATTGCCCAAATAAAAGGCCGAAAGACATTCAAGCACATGTATATCATTACACCGCTTTGTAGACAACAGAGTTAACGAGGTTTGATTTCCCATGGTTTTATATTATAGAATCATTTTGGTTGGAAAAGACCTTTACTATCATTGTGTCTAACAATTAACCCGGCACTGCTGACTCCACCACTAAACCATGTCCCTAAGCACCACATCTACACATCTTTTATACCTCCAGGTATGGTGACTCAACCACTTCCCTGGGCAGCCTGTTCCAGTGCCTGACAATCCTTTCAGGGAAGAAATTTTTGCTAATATCCAGTCTAAACTTCCCTTGGCACAACTTGGTGCCATTTCCTCTCGTCATGTTACTTGGGAGAAGAGACTGAGAGCCACCTCACTCCATTCTCCTTTCAAGTAGCTATAGAGAGCAATGAGGTCCCCCTGAGCCTTCTCGTCTCCAGACTAAACAATCTCAGTTCCCTCAGCAGTTTCTCATCACACTTGTGCTCCAGACCCTTCACCAGCTTCACTGCCTCTCTCCGGACCCGCTCCAGCACCTCAATGTCTATTTCATAGTGAGGAGTTAGTGAGGAGTACTTTTTAGTGCTCAGTGACAATTTTCACTAAATTTAGAGGAGCTGAGTATTTCTTTTACCTTTCTTTTCTGTCAAATAGGGTGAAAATAGCAGAACTGGCATTCAAAAGCAGAGCTGAGATGAGAATAGCATGAGCCCTTTTTTCTCAGGAAAGCCAGGCCAAAAAAAAACAAATACAAAACCAAAAGAAAGCCAACGAAATTTGGTCTTGCAAATTGCAGTTTTTAATGTAACTCAGTATATATTTGTTCTTTGATGCTGCCTGTTTCACTCATAGAGCAATCCAGCAGCTGAGGGAAAAAAATACAATGGAGTCTTTGGTTGCTAAAAAAGGTCTGGAAGGCAGGAAAGGGGAAGCTCATCCCATTACAGATCCTCAACCTTACTACATCCAACAGCTAAAAATTATCCTTGATATTTTTAGGGGATCCTGAAAAAGACTGAACAGTTGAGAGCCCCTGCATGATGAAGAGCAAGAATGGTCTGGCTGATTCCTCCCAGCTCCCATGTTGTCACATCTGAGGTACTGTGTTCAGCATTATTCTCTCCCAACGCCTTCAAGAAGTGGCATTGTTATACCAGATCCAGAATCCAGGAGCTGTGCGTTATGCTGGAAATTTCACTGCTGTATGACAGATTACGGCAATGTGTCTCACTCTCAGAATATATTGATGTTTTTTATTGTCGTCCTTCATGAAAAAAGAAAACACCAGAAGAATACCTAGAGCTTTTTGCTATCTTCAGTTTAGTGAGAATAATAATCATAAATCTTGTTACAAGTGCTTTCTTCCTTCCTTCTCTCTCTTTCTACAGTAATATCTTTCAATCTAGACTGTAAATTCCCTGAAAAGACGACAATGTCTGAGTCCCATTCTGGTCTGAGACTAAATAAACAATCCAGAAAGAATTTATATAGCAATATACTAACAGAAAATGCCACAGCAAGCACAGATATGACAAAGTTATTGATAAGAAATGTAATATTTCCAACTTCAGCTGTATTATATTTACTTTACACAGAGGGTCATGAAAACACCTCAAGCATATGCAACACATACAGAGGGACTATTTCAGAATGTTTCAAATCAAGAGAGGAACATCTTCGTTATTTTCAAAATCAACGTAACTATTCTTAGTCTCTGCAGGCTTCTCTGGTTGTAGCTTAATAGGTCCCAGTCCAATTCGTTCCTTTTCTTGGATTATCTTTGTTATATCAGGGAATGAATATTTACTAGGATCCACTTCTAATTTCTCAACTTGTCTGCCCCTGAAACAAGAGGGAAACAAATGGAAAGAACTTAATTTCAAACACAGCAGAACTATTTTGGGTGCCTGTTTGTAAACCTGTTGGCTTCTGTGTGAGGGCTGTTACTGAGTCCAATTAAACCAGGATTAAGGGTATTGTAACTTGAAAAGTGATTGTTATAAAAAACCTCAGTGTAAACACAGGAAGGACTACAAAATCTCAGAGATTTTAGACAAAAGAATCCTTATCTTACAAGCATCAGAAGTTCATTTTTTAGCTAATTTGCTCTACATCAGAACTTGGTGATTGCTGATATCACATTACAAAAGGTTGGCTTTGGATGTAAGACGGGGTGTTCTAATCTAATTGGGTATTTTGTTCTTTTTTTCTTTCTGTTCCTTTTTTAACACAATTCCTTCCTGCGAGCTGCCTATTCATTTCTATGTGACAGATTCATCTTTGAAAGCAGAAGTGCTTTTATATAGTGAGAAAAAGTAATTATATGGAATTATTTGCTTTTATCTGCTAACTCTTATATTTTAGCAATATGAATCCTCACCATGTTTATATTATGAACAAAACCCTAAATGAAAGTATAAGACAGGTCAGAGGTATAACAGCATTTCCAGATTCTATTGCTATGAAGGGTTTTCTTTTAGATCACCCTTAGAAACGTGTACAGGCCACTCATTAAGGCAACGCTTCCACAGCGCATGATGATCAAAGATATGAAATATACTTTCTGACTTCCAGCATTTAAAGCCACTGCTTTTTTGTAGTAGAGGAGCTGAACAACGAAATGGAAAAATCTAGCCTGTTTTCAAGTAATTTGTAACTGTTTACATGAAAAATGGCAAAGTGGAAATTTAGCTGTATAATAATGTTCTCATTTCTGCAAATCCCAACACTATTTGTGCACCTTCATACTAATTTATATTTTATGCTGAGTGCTACTTTGGGTCAAAGTTCCAAGCTCAGCATTATGAAAGACAGTGCGTTACTCTTCAAAGACATGTGAAAACTCCATGTTTACCCAAGAGATCAGAAAGGTGCATTATTAGAACTAAAATCGACAAAAAAGTGGCAAAGTCACTGGATGAAAGGGTGCATTTCTTTGATGACAACACAGGTAATGAAAATATGTAAATATCATTTAAAGAGTTTTAACTGAAAATACCCCATCTTCAGTTGTTAAAACAAAGAGAAAGGTTTGCAAAGCAGCTTCCAAATGGTGCCAGTGCTTCTCCATCCAGGCTCTGTGATATATGAGCAGACATCCAAGCCCATATTTGTGTGCAGGATCTCTGTCCCAGAGAAGGAGAGATGCAGAGGGATTCCAGGGAGGTTTCATCCTCTCTTCCCATGCTACACTGCGGAAAGCATGACTAACAGAAGAAGCAGTCATCAGCCTAGCCACCTCATTCATCAGCCTTATGCCACTAGATTTTTCTTGTGTTATGGGAATTATTTGATCATTTTGCTGAGTGGCAAACAACTACTGCTTTAATAACCATAGAATCACAGAATCATACAATAGTTATGTGGCACAAATGAAAACTACTCAGAGAATTTTATGGGTAATGAAGACAAATACAACAAAACTCCTTTTTCTTTACCCTGAATGTTCTTCTATTTATAATACTACACAATTTACTGAAGTAAAAGTGGATTCACTTAGTATTAACATTTTATAAAATGTTCATCCCCAAAACATAAGAGACATTTTTGTTTCCTGTGTAATTTATGATATGTGCTGTGACCTGGAATCAGTGCACCAGTGGTTTTGAGGGAAATCACAAAGAATGCACACCCTGTCCATAATCTTAATCTAATCACTAATCTGAGGCATCTCAGAAAAAAGCTAAAAAAAAAAAAATGAATTAGACTCATGTTAGAAAATATTTTCCTTAATTTGAAGTATTTTAATTAGTAGTGGTATTTTACAACTCTAAAATTGTACAAATTGCTAGTCATGAATATACAGTAAACTATGGAGTTTGACTAGATTTTTGCTTAGGAGCAGACTAAATCCAGTACATGAGCAATTAACTAACAGTGACCATTGAAAGTAACAATCCACATCAACATGAAAGGATTATACACATCTGTCATTCTCAAAATGTAATTTGCACATGTTATCTAGAAATATCTACTAACAACAGACAATAGGAAAGACTGAAAATCAAGCACAGGTGCTTCCTCTGCTGAGAATCTGCTATCTTAGTGTCATCTATGCAAAAAGAGGCTGTGTATTGATGATGTAAGACTAACCACCTGAAACTTCTGGGAAGAAAGAATGAGCTTTAGGTCATCCAAACATTTTTATGTATAATTCTACCTAGCGGAATAAAAATAATCATGTTGCTGAAACTCTTCTATGAGCAATGGTAAAATAACAGTGATGAAAACAATAACACTTCTTGAAGGACCAGCTACAGTACATCTCTGGAAATTTCAGTGTTCCCAAATATTTTCAATGTCAGGTTAAAAGGAAAAAAGAAGTTCACAGTTTTTGGCACTGTTACCTGCATCTGAGTGTTCCCCACTCAAGGGAAAATTATGGCCTCAAGATTAGAGCACCATACAAAAATAAATAACACTAGATTAAATCCTTTCTTTTTTCCTGGCATTTTTTCCCCTTAGGAAGGCTATTTCTATCTCCGCATAGTTCAGTGATTTTTTTAACAAAGAAAATGAAAAAACTCCACAATAAAGTCAGCCCTTCCATTTTGCATAACTATAGCAAGCTGCTGAACAATCTGGTGTGTGATTGAGCACATATCTGATAATTTGATATTTCTTGATAATTTACACTTTTGTTCACACAGTTCTTAATCCCCATATTTGCTATTTTAATGACTTGACAGTTACATTCCCCTGTTTCAGCTTCTGAATTTCAATAAAATTTAGATTACTAAAGCTTTCTCATATGTTTGATCCAGAATATGCAGTTTTTGACATCTGATTGAAAGTTTCTTTTCTGGCATCAGGATTTCCAAAGATATTTACAAGTCAGAGCCAACAGCTTTGGAGAGACACTTATTCCAGTCTTCTAACATTGTGAATGAAATGGCAGAAAAGTCATTATCATATTAGAAAAAGTGCTAAAAAATCCTTTTCTTGAATAAGAAAATAAAGTTATTCCAGTAAATGGAATTATGTCTTATTTGGGAGCTTCAAGAAAGACAAATCCTTATTTATGTATGTTAAAAATTGATTGTGAATGTGTGACACTTGCACACAATGTCTGGCCTCAGCTTTTGAAAATACAGGCTTAAAAAAATCTACTAAGTAATCTAAGTAGATAATTATGGTTTTATAAATACTTAGAATATTAATACATCTTTCATTGCATAAGAGGCCTTTCAAATCTCCCTACATAGATGTAGTCTGAAATGAAGCTATGACTGGAGTCTTCAGTCAGTGGATCATTGGGAAGATACAAATACACAATGACTGGTAGACTCAAATTCTTTTTCAAGGACTAAACTACAGTCAAGAAGAACTAACAAATCCTTTGTAAAGAATTCTGATTAAAGAAAGGCTGATGATATCTAGGCCATTCTATTCCAAAAGACAAATGCACCTCACAAATAGGATTCATCAGACTGAGAATGTATATAATACTAGCACCTACGTTTCTCAAAGTTAGACAGAAAATCACAGTCACTGTGACATTTTTGATTTCACTGTTCCATCCCTTAGCTTCTTTTGTACAATCACTTCAAGAAACTAAATTTTGAACTGACCTTGTCTGTTAGCAAGAGATATGCTCTAGCAAACACCTGCATATGCAAACTGATCCTGAATTTCTCAGTCTGGCTATAGTATCATCCTATTTTCACTACTTGATTAACCCAGAAAAATAAAAAGCACTGTTAAATTTGTCAAACTTCACTCCCTAATGTGTAAAAAAAGAGTGAGGCTTACAGTGAAAACACATTTTATTCTAACAAGGTGACAAGACTTAGTTTACAAAGTTACACAGTGTTACAAAGAGACTTTAAAGTACGTCTCTGCCCTCAATCTTTTGTCCTTGTCACATATGCACAACTGGAAATTACTTTAGGTTGTAGTGATCAAGAGTTAGCTGAACAGAATTTGTAAGAATACTTTTTTTCCAGAAGGGCACGTTTCTGAAGTCTCCTCACCCTTATTACAGTTATGGATTGCTAGATGCCTTCGTGTGCAAAGTAATTTTTACTCACTTATGAGACACCCCACCTTTTGTTCTCCTCATTAGTCAGATGATTGAGATGTATACCCTCTGCTTTGATCAGCTCCAGGCCTCTATGAGAATGTAAATGAATCTATACCTTAAGACTAACAAGTAAAAACACCTTTTTAATATGTTGCTTAGTTCTACCTAACTCCACTTTTGGGTCAAGAAGTGAACTGATTACAACTCCTACAAGTCCTCCTTTCCCACACAATGTAACTTGCTTTGTAAAAATTCTCAATATCTTCATGACATTTATCAAACTGGTAGCCAGAAAACCTGACCCAGAAAAAGGTATCTTTCATGTATTCTTAGGTATCTTTCTTTAACTGAAGGAATTCAAGTGTGTGTATAATTACAATTAAAGACATTTTTTATTTTTCTTTCCTTTTTTTCTTTTCTTTTTAACTTCTTTTTCATGTTAAAGGAAGAACAGCCTAAACCCAAGGGTATGAGACAAGAATTATTGACTTTATGTAACTCTTAAGATTTCCACTATGCCCTCAGAAAAGTCAGTTCCTACCTGCACCTGAATTGCACCTATGCAACTGTGATGAACTCAACTTTTGTATCTCAGAGATGAATTGTGAGGCCAGTTATTGTAAAGAATGGCATACTCAGCGACTACATAATGGAGGCTTTGGAAGTATAATAAATCAATCTGTCAAATTCCCCCTATAGGAACTTGTCTCTTTGAAGGTTTGAAATACAATTTTTTATACAGCCACAGAAGAATCTCTCTCACGTGGCAGAATTGATAATAGTATCATCATGTAATCTAGCTAACAAGAGTTAAAGAGATTTGAAGCACTGCATTATAGTTTAGCAGATTATATGTCTGATAGCATTTAGCTAAGACATCTGTAGCTGTCAAGTGTAATCACTGTAATGAATGTTCTTCTGTAATCTAAGAGACAACTATTCAGCAAATTTTGAACATCTGGCTAGTCAGCTACTTTACAACTAAAAAGAGGCCAAAACTCACTATTTTTAGTATGAACTGTAATTCAAAGGACTTTTTTCCTATTTCTATTTTTGTGATATATATTCCTGTAATATTTTAACACTAAGATTTATATTTTTCCTACAAAATCTGTGGTAAGCATATTCATAACTACATAAAACTGCATTGAAATCAAACAGAAATTCATGAAGTATCACCATGCCATGGATTATCTTTAGTTCATCACCTAGCAGGAAAGGAGACCATTTCCCATTATTACTTCCATTACTTCTATATTCCCATTATTGCTACTATTCACTTCCGTGTAGCCAAAGCTAAAGGCACACTGACAGTTCAAAGGAAATTCATAATCCTAATCACAGGTTACCAACTCTTTTGCTTTTTAGCAGAATCCATTTTGAAAACAAATTATGTCAGTTACTTAACAAGGAAAAATCTGATTTTCTCCTGGAAAAGAAAAAAAGCTAAGACTTCTTTTTTTTAGAACCGATTTCTTTTAATGTATCTAATGCTTCAGTTGTACTTCTATGGGAAAGAACCATTCCTTTTGCAAAGTAGATTCATTGAATAGGACTATAGAACAGATTGGGTTGGAAAGGACCTTTACAGGTCATCTAGTCCAAGCCCCTGCAGTGAGCAGGAGCATCTTCAGCTAGATCAGGTTGCCCAGAGCCCAAATGCAGCTTTTCATCCACCAGTACCCCCCAGTCCTCCTCCTCAGGGCTTTCTCAATTCTTTCATGCCCCAGCCTGTACTGATACTGGGGATTGCACCATCCCATGTGCAGGACCTCGTACTTGGCCTTCCTGAACCTCATGAGGTTCATATGGGACCACTTCTTCAGCTTGCCCAGGTCTTTCAAAATGGCATCCTATCCAAAATAAAAAATTGGAGAGACATCAATTTGATGAATGGACCACTCGGTGGATAAAGAACTGGCTGGATGGCCACACGCAAAGAGTTGTGGTCAATGGTTCAATGTCTGGCTGGAGACCAGTAATGAGTGGTGTCCCTCAGGGACCGTGTTGAGACAGGTCTTGTTCAACATCTTTGTCGCTGACATTGACAGTGGGATTGAGTGCGCCCTCAGCAAGTTTGCTGATGACACCAAGCTGTGTGGTTCGGTTGATATGCTGCAGGGAAGGAATGCCATCCAGAGGGACCTCGACACGCTTGTGAGGTGGGCTGATGCCAACCTCATGAAGTTTAACCATGACAAGTGCAAGGTCCTGCACCTGGGTCAGAGCAATCCCAGGCACAGCTACAGGTTGGGCAGAGAAGAGATTCAGAGCAGCCCTGCGGAGAAGGACTTGGGGGTGTTGGTTGATGAGAAAATGAACATGAGCTGGGTTCAGTGTGTGCTTGCAGCCCAGAAAGCCAACCATATCCTGGGCTGCATCAAGAAGATCGTGACCAGCAGGTTGAAGGAGGTGATCCTGCCCCTCTACTCTGCTCTCAGGAGACCTCACCTGGAGTATTGTGTGCAGTTCTGGTGTCCTCAACAGAAAAAGGACATGGAACTGTTGGAACAAGTCCAGAGGAGGGCGACGAGGATGATCAGGGGACTGGAGCACCTCCCGTATGAAGATAGGCTGAGGAAGTTGGGGCTGTTCAGCCTGGAGAAGAGAAGGCTGCGTGGAGACCTCAGAGCAGCCTTCCAGTATCTGAAGGGGGCCTATAGGGATGCTGGGGAGGGACTCTTCATTAGTCACTGTGGTGATAGGACAAGGGGTAACAGGTTAAAACTTAAACAGGGGAAGTTTAGATTGGATATAAGGAAGAAGTTCTTTCCTGTAAGGGTGGTGAGGCACTGGAATGGGTTGCCTAGGGAAGCTGTGAATGCTCCATCCCTGGTAGTGTTCAAGGTCAGGTTGGGCAGAGCCTTGGGTGATATGGTCTAGTGTGAGGTGTCCCTGCCCATGGCAGGGGTTTGGAACTAGATGATCTTAAGGTCTTTTCCAACCCTAACAATTCTATGGTTTTATGATTCTTTCCCTCAGGTGTGTCACTGCTGCCTAAGAAAAGGATACAGTGCTTGTGCTCATGAAGAACCTCAACAAACTCTTGAAGTCTCCCTGTCATTTTCCCATCATCTAGGTAATTCAAGAAAAGAAGTCATGACTGATCTTTATTAAAAATAAGACATAATAGCAGTATACTAAATATTGAGACCCACGATCCATAATGCTATTTTTTACTAATGGTTTAGCCTATCCATCAACATTCACGCCAAAGAAATCAAACAAGGAAACAAATGCAACACTAAATATAAACGGCTTAACAAACTTTGTTGTTACCTTATCTTATTCTGATATGAATACCATTGCCTATAGCATGAGGAAAGGAAAGATTAAGAGATATTTCATCGTATTTGTACTTAGGCCCAGTCTACATCTACAGCAATGGTTAATAACACTTGCTAAGAGTAAAAACAAAAAATAGTGCATCACTGATATACGATTCTGGCAGTCATTAACTGTGAGATTTCAAGAGCAGGAGTTTACATCATATTTAAGAGGGTAGATCTATGTTATAAAACCTTGCAGAACTCCTTTTCAAATGTACTTATTACTGCAGTAGCTCAACCAGTAGACTAGTGAGAAGCAGTTCATGAGAGGGATTCATAATCATTGCTTTCTAAATGGTTTTCAGACTTGAGTTACACAGCAAGGAGCTCTGCAGATGTAATTCTCAGCAGGTGATTTAGTTTTAGTATATACCAGCTTAATAATCTGAATAAACTGATGGAACAAAACTGATAGGCAGAAATAAGTGCTTTTTTGGCTCTGCTGCTGGAGCAGATCGCTTTATAAACAGCACCAGGCAGGCTATTAGCTTTTAGACATAGTTTTACTCTATACAAATCAATATTTTCATGCTTTCAACAGTAACGTAGTAAGAAGCATACATTCTGGCATGTGAGTAACACATGGACAAAAAATAAAATGAAACTAATGCAGAAGAAAAAAGGAATTACCTTCTTGCATATTTTTGCAGTGCATTGCAGTCAGAACGCTTAACTAAAGTTGCTACTTTTTGCTTAGGCAGGATTATTTCTTTAGCCTGAAATAAAAATAGAAGAATAATTCTAATGAAAGTTGATACTTATGCTCACAAGCATTTATATAATCTCTCAAAAATAGAAAAACTAAGAGAGTCTGAATAAATTTTCTCTTGTGACATTTACTTTTCTGTCAGATTTTAACACTCTTCACTCAGCATGAAACACATGCATAAGGCAATTTTAACCAAATCATCTGAATGGAATTATATTCAAATATATATATATGAGTCTATATATAAAATTTTTAAATATATACATCTATTTGTATTTAAATCCATGCTGTCTTGTTTAGTACTGTGCTAACAATGCACATTGCTAATTTTCTCCACAGTAACTAACTGGTTCATGATGTGCCTCTCACTTACATTTCACTTCTGGTATCCATGTGCTAGTTCAGACATTTTAATTAAAAACTCAGCTGCAGTCTGGACACTTTAAAAAAGGGACAAGTGACCAGAAATGTACAAATGACCAGGAATTCCCTCAGCTCCTTTGCTAAAACAGAATCTCAAGTTCAAAATCCAAGCGAATTCCCCTTCTCAAAGAAAACATGTCCATCACCGTTTTTTGGAAGTTGTCTTGTTGACAAAAGGGAATCTCATGGCAAAACCGTATCTCTTTCCCCTCTTAACAGCATAGCAGAGGGACCCCTTAAGCACTTGACAGGAAGGAGAACAGGAACTACGCCAAATAGTAAATTTTATTGACTATTTCTTAGTGTAATTGATTTGAAAATAGTCCAGGGTAGAAGACCAGTGAAGTTAAAGTATCTGTTCTGAAATAGGACAGAAATAGGACAGAGCCTGTAGCTTCTGTTGTTCATCTCTGAAATCCGTTGGGAAGAGGCTGATCCCCTCTGATTCTGTGTTTACGCTGAGGGAAAGCCTATTTCTTTGGATCTTCGTTCTCTTCGCAGAAGGCCCTCTAGTGTTCTGTTCTTTTAACAATAATTCATTCCTTTGATCCCCTTGAGATTAATGTTCCTTACTTTGCCCTCAGAGCACACGAGCAAGGATGGTGAGTGAATTTGCTGATTCCACAACCAACAGAAAAGGTTTCCTTGACAAGAAGTGATCCTGGCACTTAGGGAAGGGTTAGGTTTTGCCTACTAAAACACCTATTATTAATTATCAAGTAGCTTAACATAGAAGTTCTCCTGTGCAAAAGATGCCCTCTTACCCCTATTCAAGAAAAAAAATACAAATGATATTCTCTAATTATTCTTCTTTTTGAAACACAACTCCATATACAGCAGTGGTATGTGAGCTTCACCACACCAGTAGCTGACTGACAGACATCCCTTAGTGATGGTGATGGTGGTCAAGTGAGGACAGCTGTTCTGGAAAACAGAACTGCCATAGTTTCAACTGAGGCTGAAACCAAGACTTTGGGCTTAGCAGAAAGATAGCTGTCTGAAATTTAAAGCCTGTGATACACAGGAAGATGGACTACATTAATATAATGAAACTTTCTGAAAGCTATTCTATGTAACTCTTTCTAATATTTGTATTAATCAGAAAACAGAAAGAAGATCCCTTTTAACATCATTATCAGAAAATTCTAGAAATTGATGTGTTAAGTAGAATATGGAATGAGTAAACAGAAGGAATAAAAACCCCTAGATTTTTAAGCTAAATCAAGCTAAGCCATCTTTTCAGTCTCATCTTTTTCCCATAGCGACTCTCTTCTACAACAGGAATTCCACTGAGCAAGAGTTTCCCTGAAACACATTTATTCTGAAGGATGAATAGGTTTCTAGTGTTCCACAGCTGTATATCTCCACACGCCTTTGATGGTAATGAAATACTACTGCATTTACCATACCTAGAAAAGAGAGAATTACATAATGTAATTCCATCAAATAACCTTTCCACTGACATGCATAATATATACCACTCCTATTTTTAAATTAATTAAAGAATCTAGCTGTCATTGATCTTTAAATTTCTAAATGCTTTTGAAGGGCCAGGCAATAAAAAGCTGCCAGAATTCATTTGTGACTGCTTATATAACAAAAAATTAATCACAAAGTCCAAATTTTTTCTCTCTGATTCATTAAAATAAGGACAGTGAAGTTTTAAAACATGTCATGGAATGTTTCAGAGCCCTAAATGAAAACTGCTTGTTAATAACCCTGGGTTTTGATGCTTTCTCTCAGACATTAATTAAAATGCTATTGGTGTAATCTACTGATGACATTTTACAAAATCATTGATTTAATATGCCAATTTTGGTCAAAGTCTATCAAAGAAACTCTCAGGTTTTAATTTTACTGCATCATCTGCAATGATGACACTGCCAGAGCAGAGAGGTTCAACATTTGAAAAGCTTCATGTCACAAATATTTTTCCCAGAAAATGAGGCATGTCCAATGTAGTCACTATCAACTCCTTATTCATGCAAAATCTCTGTAAGATGATTATTGCAGTATAAACACTACACTTTAGAAGTGTCACTGTATCATTTCAGTGAATGTGTCCTTCAGTTTGTTTTGCTGACCTGGCAAGAAAACATGGGTAGATGCTGCCTCAGAAAGACAGCCATTCTGCAGTGATTTGCTGTGCAGTAAATAGCACATTTAAGAAAAATGCTTCCAGAAAAGAAGGTGAAGATTATTTGTTTTCTTTTACTTCACGTCAAATTTATGATCTCCAGTATTTGTGCTATGGCAAGGTCATCCGAGAGGCAAGGAAAGAGGTTTTTGTTTTCATTTTAAATGCTAGGGAGCTGTGATCAGGCTGGAAGATGAATGGTGATAGGTTTAGTAACCTGATCAGAAACTGACTAAAGCAAGTGAAAAACACTTATTGAATTCAGTTCACTTTCTGTTCTGTTACTGATAGAAATCTTGTCAGGATAGTATTGCAAGCATATTATAAAAGACTATTTTTAGTTTAAGAGCATTTTTAACATTTTAGTTACCTGAGGAATGTACTAGGTCATTTATCTAGTTGCAAATAATTTTATTTTGATAGTAGTTATTTAGCAGAAACAAAAAGGTTATATATGGTGCAATATAGTCATTAAGCTTGTCTTAACACTCATACAACCTGAAAGAAGTTGCGTGAACACTGTATCTTAGTACCTTGGTAGAAGATTCATATTAAGTTGTTATCAAATTAGTGTTCTCATTGTTGATAACCTCAGCCATAATGTTCTGGAAGAAAAGTATCTCTTGGCCAGTTGTTGCTAATCTTCATTCATTACACTTTGCTTCCCAGATTACATTCTATTAATACCAATAAAGTTTCTATGGATAGAGAGCCTCTGAAAAGGATATGTATCTCAAAAATGTAACTCAAGCATTCTAATTCAGTCCTGGGGAAAGAGAACAGACTCTCTGACTGCAGTAGAGAAGCTAGCATCTGTTACATGCAATTGCTGCTATGTAGCATGAATCCAACTTTGGTCAGCAAATCCATGAAGTTCACAGGATCACAGACTCACAGAACGGTTGAGGCTGGAAAGAACCCGTGGAGGTTATCTGGTCCAAGCCCCCAACCAAGGCAGGGCCACCTAGAGCCCAGGACCATGTCCAGGTGGCTTCTGAATATCCCAAAGATGGAGACTCCTCAACTTGTGCCAGTGCTTGGTCACCCTCACAGTAAAAGTGTGTCCTGATGTTCAGAGGAAACCTCTCATAGAATCATAGAATCGTTAGTGTTGCAAAGGACCTTAAGATCATCTAGTTCCAACCCCCTGCCATGGGCAGGGACACCCTAAGCTAAATCATATCACCCAAGGCCTCGTACAACCTAGCCTTGAACGCTGCCAGGGATGGAGCATTCACAACCTCCCTGGGCAACCTATTCCAGTGCCTCACCACCCTAACAGGAAAGAATTTCCTCCTTATATCCAATCTAAACTTCCCCTGTTTAAGTTTTAACCCGTTACCCCTTGTCCTGTTACTACAGTCTCATGTTTCATTCTGTGCCCATTGCCTCTGGTCCTGTCACTAGGCACCATGGAAAAGAGTCTGGCTCCATGGCCTTTGCACCCCCCTTCTGGTATTTACACGTGTTGGTAAGATCCCCTTGAGGTTTCTCTTCTCTAGGCTGAACAGTCCTAGCTGTCTCAGCCTTTTCTCATTGGAGAGATGCTCCAGTCCCTTCAACATCTTCATGGCCCTTTGCTGGATTCTTTCCAGTTTGTTCACGTCTCTCTTGCACTGGACACAGTACTCCAAGTGCATCTCACCAACTCTGAATAGAGTGGAAGAATCCTCCCTCAGCCTGCTGGCAACTCTCCTAATGCCAGCCAGGGTACAATTAGTCTTCTTTGCCAGAAGAGGACATTGCCTCTACAAGAGGCATACATTCTACAAGAGGCTCATGTTCAACTTGGTGTTCACCAATGCTCCCAGGTCCTTTTCTTCAAAGCTGCTTACCAGGATCCAAGTTTTTGGATCCACTGACAATGAAGATATTAGACCACGCAGCATTTCATTCATGCATATCTCCCTGTGTCCCAGCTACACAAGCAGTTTTTGACCAAACCAAGGCAAAGCTCAGAACATCATCTCAGTTATTCTATTCTCTCTCCTCAGGTCTCACAACTATCTATGAATCATGACATTCTGAGATGAAGCAGGCTTCAGACCCTCAGACTAGGTAAAATATATAGGTGAAATAGAGGTGAATTATAAAGTTTGTAATGGAATACAGGCAGTTCTCAATCACAATATGAAGAAAGGATATTCATTTTGCTGATTTAGGTATGACTTTCTAGGCAGGCAGCAGAGTTTATTATATCCAGAGATTCTCTGAAACATTTACATTTTCTAATACACTGATTATCCACAAAGAGACTAGTAAGATGCATGAGTAATAAAAGTATGTTATGGGATAGCAAACTGATAGCACTTAAAATATCCAAAAGACAATTAAATTGTAAAACTGTTCAGCAACATTTGAAAACAACATTATCCAAAATGGCAAATGTCAAGGCCTCAGTTTCAAAGCAATAAATTTAGGAAAGTCTAAATTACCATATGAGTGAATTTTGAACATTAACAAAATATGGATCTTAACCAAATGAGTACAATTCTCAGCATTCTTCAAGCTCCTGGTGAAACTGCATGCTTGATGCTAGAGAGACAGTTTGTGATTTAATGAGAGGCAGTCCATGTAAGGAAAGACAGGTGGCATGGGACTGGAGTGTAGAAGAAAACATAGAAGGTATAGAACCACAAGTGGAAAAAGACAAAAGCCAAAACCTGCATTTTCAGGTTTTTTTTTTACTTCAGTTTTAGCTACTAGTTGCATAGTCTTAGAATTAAATAAGAGCACAAAGACAAAGAACTGACCCCAAATAGCAGCTGAAGGCTCCTCCTTCAGAAGAAAATGCTGTAATTAATATATCTTGGCAAATTAATCTGTGGCACCATGTCCCACTGCTACTACCCAGCACAGAAACTTCCTAGAGGCCACAAGGGTAAAGCTAGAGTACCAAGATTTTTATTTTTTTTTCCTGGAAACTATTGTTACTCTATTTCTGAAAACCAAAAATATACAATGTAGTCCTAGAGGACTTAAAATCCCCCAACCTTCCAAAGTAAGGGAGGAGCAAGATGTTGAAGTTTATTAACCTCTCCCATCTTCCACTGGACCAGGTTGCTCAAAGCCCAAATCAACCTGGCCTTGAACACTGCCAGGGATGGGGCAGCCACAATTAGATTCTCTTCCCATGAAGATCACCTGAGACGTGAGAGGAGTACATCATCCCTGTCTTTGAACCAAACATAACCTTCATACATATATGTGCCACATAATTTTTTAGTAATAGAGTTGTATTTATTATTTCACAGGTGAAAAAGCAAAGTAGGTAAGTTGCTTATTTTCAATTATTTAAAAATCTTCTTATACAGTTGCACAACACTGCATGTTTTGCAGAATCTCTTTTCATATATAAAAAGCTGGTTTTGTTGAAAAGAAAGGAAATAGAAATAGTTCTATTAATACTGATTTTCACAATGTTCCTTTACAGGAATCTTAAATCCTAAGGTTTCGCTCTATGATTAATTTTTTACTGGAATTCTCCTTCCTTGGAAAATACATCCTGATGGGAAAGGCTGGACTGAATAACTTTAGCTAGGCAGATGTTACTTGTAACATTCCTGAAGTATTCACAACATTTAAGTATCTTTGTATAATGCCTCCTCAGATTACTTTACCTTTGGCATGCTGATAACTAAATGACCGGTTGTTTGTGATCTTTTAGCAGAGCTGCTGTCTGGCTTCACTTCCTCAGGGAGCACAAACTGAAATGGCTGTAAGAAAATGTGGGGTTGGAGTATATTATGCTACAATATCTGGGTTTTGTTGGTTTCTTTTTTTTTTTTACCTGCACAGAACACATGCAGAAACATCACTATCACATCCTTTGATCTTAAGGACAGTAAAGGTCTAAATCCTCTCACTTTATTTATAGTATTACTAACCATAATAAATTATTAGCATGCTAAACAGCTTTCACTTGACAAGTATAGTCACATACATATTCCTGAATTGCTGTCATAGCCAAAGTGACATTTCTAAAGAAGGTTATGAAATGACACTTGACTTATATTAGCAATTAAATAAGAAAGATTATCCAGTCTATTTTAGATGTAAAGTACTCCTGAAATTTTGTTTATGTAGTTGGTACAGTCAAAAATAGGGATTTTGGTTTACTGTTTTAAGTAACTTGGATTTTTTCAAAAAATGGATGGTAAAACCAGTAAGAAGACAGACAAGTGGAATGACATTTTAAATGCCCTTTAAAAGAATATACATCCATTTGTTTCTGTCAGCTATGAATTCCAGATTGTGAAATTGCTAAATTCTAGCCTAGGGCCACCAGCAAGATCTCTTCTTAAGTCAATTATGGTACACTGTGTGGGGGAGAAACAAGAGAAGGAGAGAAGAAGAGAGAGTGAAATTTCATTTCAGGCTTTGCATATCTTCTGGTTAGGACTTCCACAGTTTATGTGTGGTCTAAAATAATGCAAGTATGAAAGAACTTCTTCTGCATAGGTGCACACAGTTGGTAACTCATAGAAGTCAGACCCAGAGTCGTCTAAGTAACTATGGTCAATGATAACTCTTGGTTTGAAATGAATGTAGTAAGAAAACACTAACCTTTCCCTTCACCATTACACGTACATAAGTTGGCTGGACATCAATATCAAGCAGAGAAGTGTCCAAATGTCTTCAGGATGAAATACAAATAAAAGAATCAATTTACAATACAGTCCAGTAAATAAGCAGTGCAGAACATATAGCTCTTTAATGGTGATTTTGCAGTTTATAAGCCACAAACTTCAATTCTAATTATTATGTGAAATATGTGTATATTTCAAAGTGTTAACGTCTTTGGAAGAAAAACCTGATCTTCCCATGTGTTCTCAGAATTTTAACTAAAATAACATCTGAATTCTGTCAAGTTTACCACATCAGCAATTCTATAACTGCAAGAATTCAAAATCTTTGCGGCAAATGGTTTTTCATCTATTAGCTTTGTGCTTTACATTGCTATGAAAATTGATCTATTTACTATTTAAAATTGCAAAATTATTTTGCTGCTTTTGTTTCTGAAGGCTTAACTAGTAAATGTATAGTAAGAGATCAGTTTTTTTTGCACAGAGTTTGCTGGACAACCATGAACAGAAATACTTTGCATTTCTAGAAATCAGAAAACTGCAAGTCTGTCAAACACAATTTGGACCTATTAAAGCTCCACTTTAACATCTGCTCTTCATCATGTGACACATACCCTCATGTGAATGTACAAGTACATATTCTTTGTTTCCCTTCATTTATAAAGTTACCTCTTGAGTGAATTTTTCAAGTGAGCACAAAATATTATAACATGTCCAATATCTTATTGAACCTGAACAGATTTTCTGAGGCTCCAAAAAAGCTAATTCTTAGAATTCAGAAATAGAAAGCAGGACTCTTTTGAGGGAAACCAATAAGCTTTAAGGGAAGAACAACTGGCATGAATTGTGTTTCTGTGCTATAATACTAGTTCAAGCTTTACTCTAACAAATTCCTATTATAGGTAAATAAGCTTTTAGGTTTCCAACCCCTTCCTGAAGCCTGGGCAAAGCTTAGTAGTATATATTAGCAAATAGTTATCAGATTTCCTGGTTCAAGCATACTTCTTCCAGCCAATAGCCTGGCACAATTCAGGAAACAGCATGGACTATGGACTCTCTCCAGTAAGGAAGGAAAGTAGGACAAGGATACCCTATTCTGTCATAGGGAGGCAAAGAATTTAGACAGAAGGACATTAACTGTACTAGAGCACTTGGGGAAAAAAATCCCTACAACCTTAATCTGCAAATAAAGAATGAAAAAGATTTTACATAAGTATAAAAGGAAAGGTGTGGAGGAAACCTGTCTGTGAACTGCAAGGAACATCAGGTGCAAAAAAACGACTGTTAAGAGTCCTCATTCACAGTGACAGAACAGTCTGAAGGGACTATGGTTTATTAAGATTCATTTCTCCTGCACAGACTTCAAAAGTGGTTCCCGTACCCCCAATATTATTTGTTTTCCTCTTGAAAGAAGAGAGGAATATAATTGAACACTGTGTATTGAAACTTCAGAATGGCAAAAATTAAGAAAAAATAAATCTGACCTGTAAACAGCAAGATCCAAGATGATCTGGTTGTTTTCTTCATCATCTTTCAAAGAGAAATGAAGCCTAATAATAATAACAAGAAAACCTTCAGGATAAATACAATTGGAGTGAATAAGCAAATATCACAGCATCCTTTCACTGCTAGCACTTTTAGATGAATACAAACACCATTGAGACAATATATCACATGATCATTTTAGGAACAGTTGCAATTTGCCTCCTGAACACAAAAATATGCTGGTATCTGAACAAAAGTCATTCTTTCATTCATTTTTTGTTCTCCCCACCCAACCCACAAGGAAAAGAAGACACAAATACTGCTGAAGGTCAGTTAAAAATTAAGCTCAGCCTGTCAATGCAGAAAGAGAGACATCTGCTGGTGAAATCTGCCTGCTTTACCACCATCTTCATAGCAAAAACAGTTCGTTCATGAAAAGCATGAAAAGCCTGGAATTTGATAATTCTAAACATATCATACGCTAAAAAAAAACCTGCATCTTTGTTGATAGCAGTTAATTTGTCTAAAGTATACATATCTGCCTGTGCATTTCCAAAGTAATACATGATTTGTACAATATCATTGATATTGTATTCTGATACAGTCAATTTGCAAGAAAGTTTATGAAGCTTTTGAGTTATGGGCATTTTTTTAATGGAATACTGTAGAGAATGATATTCAGGCTTTTTTCTTTTATTGCATCTTACTTATTGCAAACTTTGAGAAATCACTAAAATATGAAGGGTGAAAAAGAGAAAAGAACTGTAAAATTTTCTAGGGGGAAATCTAAAAAGAACTGTAAAATTTTCTAGGGGGAAATCTAATCAGAACTGAGGAAGTTCTGCTTTCAGCAGAGTTCCCTTGCCAACCTTCCAAAAGAGCAGCCAAGAAGCTTGGACATTGCTATGGGCATTAGACTTCTGCACTGAAGCAAAAACTTTGGAGAACACTATCTGTCTACTTGTATCTCTTTATTTATGTCTCTCTGATACACTGCCAGATTGCATGAAGAGCTGTGATATTCTTGTTGAAGCCATGACAGAAACTGATCATTGATCTGGCTTTACATGGGCACATACACAGACTAAATTCTAATCCAGAAAACTTGGGTGACACAAACAGGACTGCTACTAACAGTGAAGTCTAGGGACTTTAATTCTTTTAAAAAGATAGATAGCTAGACCTTTATTCTAAATGCTTCTGCTTTTTAGAGGTACAATCAAATTCTATGAACTATTTTAATTAAACTATTTTAGACTTCTTTGAACTAGAAAATAAAGTTTTTTTCAATCAACACATTTGTTAAAAAAAAGAAGTACATCAATACAATGGTAAGTATCTCCCGGTGCAGATGGAATAAACAGGAGGTCTTCCACTACCTTTAGTTTTCCCTATCCCACTGAAAATGACGCACTGATTCTACAATGCAGGTTTTCAAATTCCTTGAATGTGCATGGATTTATAAATTTCCAAGATTTAGAAAGCATTCTTCATGCAAACGATGAGCATGTTCTGAGCTTTGATTTTGCAGCTAGATCAGTCTTAAGATGGAAAATCTTGTTCAGAGGACAGCAGACAGGTATGTGGCCCTTTGCATGCCGCTTTTTGATCACTCTTCTATAGAAGGCTCTCGGGGGAGCCATTTATAAGGAAACAATGTTTGCACTCTGTCTTCTCCTTTAGAAAAGAAAAGGTTGATTCAAGAGAAACCAATGGTAACACACAGACGATATCTCTGGAAACTCATTCCATAATACTCAGGTGCCTTTGTAAATGATAAAATACAAAAAGACTTCCCTGCCTCTGCTGCTAGAGACCTCATTCAGTGTCAAAGGACCTCATGCCATAGAAGCTGATTACACATCCTTCCTAATTCTGAGAGGGTTTCATCTGTCATCAGAGGACTGAATAATTCTGTCCAGAAATATTACTTGGATGTATTTTCCCACATTTAAAGTGTGTACCCATACACATTTATCTTTCTTCAACAAACTGGTTAAACTTTTTCCACTCTTAGTAAGATGCTCCAAGAGAGCCTTACCATAGAAGGAAAAAGAGTAAACCACGTTATATCTATCTTTTACAGAAAAACAAGCTCTTCCATCATCAGAGACCAAGATGTTAAATTAAACAATCTTCAACACCTCACTCACTGAAAACTAATTATTTTTCCAGCATCTGCATATAAATTTAGAAGTCGGATTCCACACCAGGGACCTTACATACTTAGGCACATTCACGTTCAGAACTTTTCCCTCTGCAGTGACCAGTGTCCAAAGAGGCTTCTCTTTCTTTTTTGATTCCCTTAACAAAACAAAGAAAAATGGTTTAAAATTTGACATTCTGGTATTCTATTTCAGTAGCAAAAAAAAAAAAAAAAAAAAAGAAGTGGATGGTAAGAGGTAAGAATTATCTGGTATTTGATATTAAAGCTACAATTTATTGCAGGAACAAAACAGGTTATATCAAATGTCTGATTGCACATTAAAAGCATCATTTAAATATGAGCAAATGCTTTGTAACATCACGTCTTGCATTGATAATAACTTCTTCTGGGCACGTCACAGTGCCCATTATTGAACAGTAATATATCAAATTTATCTGTATATCTTAAGGAATCAGTGGATTGCTTAAACATAAGAAATGGGACGTTTTTCTAGTTATAAATGGTCACACTAATCATGAGATATCATTACTGTTAACCAATTCAATGCGTGTGCAAGCAATTCTAAAGACATTACATGCAGATTATTTGTTTAAAAAAATCTACTGCATTTTTTGTTGCATTCTTCCTTCAAATAATACAAAACATATTACTGATGGAGACTTCAGTCTTCACTAGCTATGTCCAACTATCAGCAATTAAACTATGACTTTCATTTGGTGCAAAAATAAGCTACCTTAAATTTTCTGCAAAGTTCATTAAGTCATGTGGCACTGGTGTTTTCCTGTATAAATGTTTAAATCATGAGCAAGGAGAGGAAGAGTAAAGAATCTTAGAAAAAGAAAAATCTGCTGGCACCTAGGTAAAAAATGGCTATGTTCTCTTTAAAATATAGCAGTGTAATTCTTGCTTTGCATTAATCCACTCTTCAGCCTACTTCAGCTGGCATAGAAAAAAAGTATTTCTCAAAAAGACAACAGCAATTCATTGCTTTTTGTGTTCCCAAACTATTTTCTTACTGTAAATTCAAAATTAAGAGAACACTACAGGTAAATCACTAATGAGGTAAATAAAGCATGTAAGGTTTAGACCGACTTTGGGGGGAAAAAAAGGCATAAAAAAATATTTGGTCTATAAATATGATGGATTTGAAGAAGAAATAAAAACATTCAATTGGAGCTACTGGAATGACTACGTAAAAACAACTTCTATTTAAGAAAGATTCACAACTACCCCTCTGTTCAATAGTATTCTATAGTATAAATCAGAGGTTTAATGGGATTTGTGGGCTAGCATCTTCTATACCTGAATATCTACTTTTGACATTGAAGTGCAAAGTGAACTTTGTTCTAAAGATGCTGTTTTCAGAAATACTTCAGGAAATTATATCCTACCATCTTTTAGCTACTAATAATCTGTTTCTAGATGAAATATGTCTGCTCATGTGAACTATTTCAAGGCAAATCCAGTTATGTCACAAGCATTAGAATTCAAGATAAGTTCTTTAACTTTGTGCTGAGATGAAAGGCCTTGTTCTGGCAATGAGCAGCTAAAGGAGATCCTGGGCACCCTTCAGCTGCAACTGATTTTACACTTTTCTGAAGTTTCTTTGGATGAAACTACAGGTACTCAATCATTTGGCAACCACCAAAGCTGCTCAATTTATTATCAGCTGTGCAACTTTAACATAGCTAGCAAATTTGATGTGTGCTAACATGTTGTAGATAGGCTTAAATTTAGCACTGGTGTGATTGAGGTCATGACCATTTCATACAAAACCCTCATCCTTTTATACTGAGCAACTTACATTAAAGTTATATTTCCACTCCCTTTTATACTGAGCAACTTACATTAAAGTTATATTTCCACTCTTGTCCACCAGCAAGATTTGAAATCGTCAGGGGAACTTTTCTGTTCTCACCTTTCTCATGCTACCTCAAAACCAATATAAAATGAACCATGAAAGGAATTTTAACTCCTTCAAATAACTTGGAAATTCAGAATCAAATTCAGAAATTAATTATTCTATCTTTATTGTAACACTATTTAAAATCTCCTTGAATATATTTAGAGGGAAGCATTTGGAAGAAATTTGCTTTTGACTAGAGTAGGGCATCCCCAAACACAGCAAAATTCTAACTAGCTAGAATCTGGGTTTCACAGTAGTTCTTCTGAGAAAGTGCTAGACCTTGAAGTAATAATAGCAACAAGTTATGCAGATTTCCAGACTTCTGGGAGAGTTCCCTGGGACTGACTTTTTCAATACTTAGGCTTCATAAACCTTTTAAAAAGCATGCCTTTAAAAAGAACAGCTAGAAAAATCTCTGGCACAAATGCTGTTATATAAGCAAAAAATAAAGAAGGAAAAAAAAGACATTGCTTACAATGTTTGTGGAACTGATAAGCCAGCAGCAATAAAAAAAACTGATTTTTGTCATATCTGCATTAATTTTCCATGTTCAGCAAAACCAGTGACAACTTTAGGAAATTTGAAGGGCTTTTCAGGGGCCACACATCTTCAGATTCCAAATAGCATAGATAGCATGAAGAATCTCATTACTTGGGATGAACATCTTTGATAAAGCACATGAAAAGATTCCTAAGTCACATAGAAAAGGTGTCTGAAATGCCACTTGTAGTGTGGACTGTACGGCATCTGTACAATGCAATCTGCACCCTGGATAAATCCTTTCAGCAACAATATGAAATATCAAACTACACAAAACACATTAGTTAGCGGACACAAAAGTGAAATTTCTACAGTCCATAAAATGGAGTTGAAAAGTGAAATTCCATTTAAAAACTCCATTTGAGGGAAAAAAAAATACCATTCATTTTAGAAAATGAAAACAAACAAAATGAAGAGTCTGAATATTTCACTTATATTTTATAAGCATATTTGCACAGGCAACAGGGATTTAAGCTGCCAGTTCTCAGTAACACTTAATGTGAGGCAGTCACCTTCCTCTTCTCTGTATCTTTGAAAATTTCCCTTTTTTCAACTCATAGAATATAATAAAATAAAACTCTACCTTACATTCTCTTTAGCTCTCCGTTTCTCTTCAATGTATCTGTGAGTTTCTAATCTAGATTCTGGAGTGTATGGTGTAGGCTCCTCCCAAAATCTTTTGTCTTCATCATCTTCAGTTGTTCTCCATGATTCTTGTTCTTCACCTCCTTCTGCCTGATTTTTTTCTTTCTCCTGTATGGAGTCTGGACTACACAAGATCATGTGGAATATTATCACAGAATCATAGAATCATAGAATGGTTAGGGTTAGAAAGGACCTTAAGATCATTGAGTTCCAACCCCTTTGCCATGGGCAAGGACACCAATGAAACAAAGGAAGAGTAACAGTACTTGCTAATGAATTCTTGTAATAATATAATTTTTTAACCCAATACTAATAGATGTATGATTCCTACAAAGAACAATATCTTATATATCTGGATAGATATATCTATGCTTCTTTCATCAACCAACAAAATGTATTTCAACATGTTTTTCATTGACTTAACTGAGCAGTGGTGCTATGGTTATGCCTAACTCTCTGAAAACACTGATAGATCAATGTGTTTAATTACAGGACCAGAACTTTCAGATACTTTTACAGCTTACAAGTGAAAGAAACCTTCAGTCTGTGTGATGTTTAAACATTCCCAATATCAGGCAGCAGCAGATTAGAAATTTATAGGGTAGCAATATTTTACTTGGGCATCTCCTCAAATGCAACCTTAGAACCTGAATCATTTTTCTCCCTAGCCCTAAGCCTCTGTAATATTCAGAAATTCGCTGCCAATATAGAGAGAAAAATAGATTTATGATACAGTTGTGATATATGAGGACAAAGTTCCATAGCCAGCTCCATGGAATTTAGTCTTTATTGGATAAAAAATAAGATGGATGGCAACTGCAGTGGGATCTGAGCCCAGACAAAAATCCTTCTGCTGTCTAGGTAATCTCAGATATATTAGGTGGAAGAATAGAGAAATGAACATTCTATACCCTTTTACATCTCAAAAGATCTGCAATATTCCATTTCAGTCTTCATATCTAATAACTGTATAGCAAAGGAAATTACAGGTGAACAGCTGTTTTCTCTGGAACCCCTACATTTCCTTAAACAACAGTTTCCATCTGTACTCCTGAAAGAAGCTATCAATTACACTATTTTGGCACCCAGTTTGGAGTTTTGGTACCAAAATTCTATTGTACTGTCTGCAGGTCAGTAATTAATCATGCTTGTAATTAATTATATTTTCCATTAGAGGTAACATGCATGAGGAGAATTAATGCCGCTAGAATCAACAATAATGACAAACGAAAATACTGAAGTGGAATTATATAAACTATTCAATGAGCAAAAAGCAAATTCTTAATAAAGAAAGAGTGGCATTTACCTGTCAAATCCAAGCTTAGATTCCATTTGTTTTTGTTTCTTGTCCTTTCTTTCTTGCATCCTTCTTTGAGCCTCTTCCTTTTCTCTAGCCCTTTTGAGAAGATAAGCTTGTTCCTGTTCTCTGATTTTCTGTTTCACTTCTGGATAGTTTTGAAGTGCTTGAATCCTCTCTGAACGTTCTATTTGTTTACTATCCAAACACTTCCCAAAGGGGAAAAATATAGATATATGAGAAATTTTAAACATATTTAAATCAATAAATCCATTACACTGTAGGTTAAATTCGATAATTACTTTCTGTATAAACTAAAAATATGCATTTCCATAGCACTATGTAAGTTATACTATATTAGAAATAATTAACAATAACTTGCTATTCATATCTGAAAATGAGTTTGTGTGTCTGAGAGATGCTTTTTGCATTTTCCAGGAATGTCTATTGGTCTTATCAGACTATATAGTAGAGGGGGTCCATTTAGCTATTTCTGATATTCATCCAACCTTGGTTCAGCTCATGAAGTTATTACAACATTATTTCTTTTGATGTGTTAGTTTATTGCCAACTAAGTGAGCTGAATTTACTCTTGCTTAACTTACTGAGTTAAGCAAGCGTCTTGTGCTTTTCCAAGTGACATTGTGGGACTGCCTGTTTCAATGACAGGAAATCATTACATCAGTGCAGGCATTGCAAAAAAACCTCAATATACTGATTTATTATCACATTATTTACTGTAGCCACATATTCCTCATAACAGAATTTAATTTTCTGTGACAGTAAGAAAATGCTACCAGCTATCCTGTCACAGGAATTTATTTTTAGTATGTTAAGTCAACAATCTCATTACTTATTTGAATATACATTTAATTTTTAAAATCTTACTTTTAATTGATGCAGAGTTGCCACTACAAATTGTCTGTAACCTTCAAATTCAGTACAAGGGTTACCCACTAGAAACAGTTCCTTCAGATGTATATTATGTTTTAGGGCTTCAATACTGGAGAGTTCACCAATGAAATTTGCTGTCAGGTCGAGTTTCTTCAGTTCTTCACAGCCTGTTTGAAATAAACTTAATTCAATTTGAACATAAAATAAACATACATGACATACACACACATCAAACACACACAGGCGCAAACACTTGGTTATAAAACTGTCTGCACTTGTTGCCTTACTACTAATTTCATCCAATCAGACTATGTCTTTTCCAAGCCACTAGTGAAAGAGTGACTCACAGCTTAAGTTTGTAAGGTCACAGTATTTGTAGAAAACAGAAAATTCTAAAGAAGATACAAAATAGCAAAGCTTATTATTGGTTATATCACTATCAAAATGTTGTGGTCAATGCTAGTATACTAGATGAGCTATTGTTTCAGCTATCATTGTGAATCATTGCTTAAATTGCAAATACTGGTAATCATAGAATCATAGAATGGTTTGGGTTGGAAAGGACCTTAAGATCATCCAGGTCCAACCCCCCTGCCATTGGCAGGTACACCTCACCCTAAACCATGTCACACAAGGCTCTGTCTAACCTGGCCTTGAACACCACCAGGGACGGAGCATTTAACACTTCTTTGGGCAGCCTCACCAGGCTCACAGTAAAGAACTTCCTCCTTATATCTAACCTGAACTTCTCCTGTTTAAGTTTAAACCCATTACCCCTTGTCCTATCACTACAGTCCCTAATGAAGAGTCCCTCCCCAGCATCCTTATAGGCCCCCTTCAGACACTGGAAGGCTTCTATGAGGTCTCCATGCAGCTTCAATTCTCCAGGCTGAACAGCCCCAACTTTCTCAGCCTGATGATCGGCTCCAGCCCCAGTCATCACTGTGGGCCTCTTTCGGACTTGCTCCAACAGCTCCATGTCCTTTTTCTATTGTTAACCAAAACAATTCGTTATAAACAGAAACTCTTAATTAGCCAACAAAATCCTCTGGGAAATCCAGATCCAAAAATTATCAGCCTCTCCTTTTATCATAATTTGTCCCTGAAGCATCAGCTTGACTCTAAGAGTAAAAAAGTTTACCTAACAGGGAGCTCAGCCTTAATGCTCATCATTGTGATCACTTGTGCTCCTTTGCAGGTCTATTTGGAAAGCATTTTATGCACATTGGCACTGAAAGAAAATAAGCAACTCCAAAGGATTTATTAGGGGTTTTAAATAACCCAAATGTTTGGAAGGCTCACTCCTAAAGGTTCTGACTCGTCAGGAAATGACAAATCACAGTAATAAATGCTGCAGCTGGATAAAGGAACTTAAAATTTACTGGTATGAGAACAGATGCAAGTTTCTCAACATATTGCCAAATATGTAACGTACTACCTGTTTCTTCAACTTTTACAGACTTTCGTTTAGCCTGTTTGCTTATCTTTTATTTAAGTCATCCTCTTGATTCAGCTTGTCGACTTAAAAAGTACCAAACTAAAAACCCCAAAATAAACTAAACAAAAAAATAAACCAAAACCCCAGCTTTTTTTTATTATTGGTGACTTGTCAAGGTGGACGTTGTAAAGATTTAGCAACTGACTAATCAAAATCAAGAAAGAGGAAGCAAGGAAGTCAGAAATTATTCAAGTAATATGGAATGCATTTATGGGCAGCACTAAGACCTAGATTTTGAACTTGGAAAATGCTAGACTTTTGCACATGCAATGCTAGTAACAGATAAACCAGCGAGAACTTCATGTAATGACAAAGAATCATTGGAACAGCTCTTTAAAAAATACCCCAGACTGTCAATGCAAACGGTACACAGAGTAGAACCTTCTTGTGTGTAACACTTGATTGCTGAAATGAACTGGACTGCTGAAACATGACACAAGAGAGACTTTATATAGCCTGCATAGCATTAAATAAATAAATAAATAAACAGCATTGCTCCAGTTAACCTGAATAACAAGTTCTTATCTCTACAGTAGAGAAATACCAATTTCAAAACAAATTTGGATTTCCATTTTGTAAAGCATTAAAGAATAGAGCTATCATAGCTGGCAACACTGGTGACAGTGTATGCAAAACATGAGTTAAAATATGTTTAAGAAAATTCAATGTCATAGCTTCAGCAGTGAGACCCACTTGCTACGAAGAAGCCTTTGTGGAAAAGCTGCACACAAAACAGCTCTTCTGAGTCAACAAAGTACCTTTTACTGGTGGACATACCCTCTTATACACTCCCTTAAACACTCTTTTACACTAAATCACAGCTCAAGTGTTTCAACATGAAACGGCAAAATGGTTTGTTTAAAAGCTGACCTTCCAGATTTTCAATTCTTTCTATGTTGTTCAAAGCTACATTTAAGTATTCCAGCTTCTTCAGCTTGCCCACATTTTCTGTAACAAAACAGATCTGTTATTTCAGTTTTATTCACTGGAAACGGTATTATGATTTTACTAGCTCACTTCAATGAAACAATAAAGCAGAAAAATAGGAAGGACAAATCAGAATAGGTATCAGATTATTGAGCATTCATATTTTAGTATTAATAAAAAGACAAAAAAAGTTTCCTGAAACACCATCTAAAATTAAACAGTAAAATAAATAAGGTTTTTAACCAATTTTTTAGCACAAATTATAAAGCACATTTATAATGCAAGAGAACCAGTCAAAAAGCACAGTAAAACATTCTATCTATCTGTCATGAAACTCAGAAAGGATCAGGACATACTTAATCAAGCTTTATAAAATTAGAGTTTACACTCACTTATATAGAAAAGATTGGCTTTGGTAGTACATATTTAATTTTTAAAGGTCTTTTATCTACAAGGTTAATACAAGACATTTAATCCCTCTGAAAATTTTGCAAATAAGGATTTTTATGGCTTCAGTATGAACAAAACAAAGCCACAAACACCCCTAGTCTGGAATCTAACCTGGATTATTTTCACCATGGACTACTGAAATTATCAGGTAGTGGAGAATTATATCAGAATGGCTAACATTTCCTCTTTTGAATATAGAAAGGGAATAGGATCTTCATCCCTCCCCAAAATGCCTGAAAAATGCCAATACTACTTGGGATACATGACATACAGGTCAGAGACATAAATCTGGGACAAGATACACTATAACTTGTGCTACAGTTCACCAATTTCTCCTCAGTCACCAGATGATTTCGAAGATCTGGCTGGGAAACCTTTCCAATGAAGTCATAAAGTTTACCTCAAACTCTCATTCACAAGCCACATTAACTGCTGTACAAACTGACCCTGCTCAAAGAAAGAAAGTTCAAGCAGAGGGAGCTTCATCTGACCAACACAGATCATCTCAGCAGCTGATTTAATTGCCTAGGCTCTTCTATAATCAATAAGGAGAAATAGGCTCTTCAAGGTGCAATTTGTCTTATCTTGAATTGTCTGTCTAGAACCAGCAAACCAAATCATGCTCCAAAATACTCCTTTACTTCATCATGGATTACAAAGACAGGCTACAGTAACCATCTAAGACAGAGATGTCTAAAAGTCTGGTGACATGAATCCTACCACTTAGTTTGCTAAAACCTTGGAGAGATATTTTCTTCAGAATTCACAAACAGCTGTTGAAATTAATTTCTCAGCAAGACTTGTGCTGCTTAGGTTGGCTGCTCATTTTTCTTCCAGCATTTCTGTAACAGCAATGCCCATACACATGTGAGATGTGAGAGAAACAAGTGTTGAAGCCAATGGTATCCTGAGGGTTTTCTTCCATTTATAGAACAGACCCAAGACTCATCCATACAGCAGATGCCTTACAACTTGCTGTCTAATACTAGTAGGCAAGTCTGATCTTAAGGGCTGCATAAAGGTTTACTTTAAGAAGAGAAAAGACACATCTCAATAGACTCAACATAAACCTTTGACTATGATATCTTAAAGTGGGTTTGAAACTGCTGTGTGCTTCAAATGGACATTCTGGACCAGATGAAAGGAAATAAAATCTTGTAGGAGACCCCAAAGAACTTTTCTGTAGTTACTCACTCTACACTCCCTTAAAGTATAGCACAACAGATATTTTTTTGCTATTTCAAAACTATGCATGTAAAAACCATTTAGGAAGAAACATACCTAGAAAACACTCACCAATTTTTGGAATTAGATTATTCTGAAGATAGAGAATTTTTAAATCTCGACACCACTTGTCAAGATACTCTAGTTTTTCTATTTCCTGCTGATGTAAAGAGATTTCTTCCAGTGAAAATATTTCACAGTCGTTATGCTCTGCACGTCTTCTAACAAGATCTTCAGTGACTGAAAGAAACATTAGATGTCATATTTCCCTTTAGTCATTTTCTGCCATCTGACTTAAGAGCAACTTCTAAAATCATTAATATTTTTTGTTCTACCACACCAAATAGATATCTGGTAGGATCACCAACAAAAATAAAATCTGCTAGAAAAGACACCAAGTACCAAGTGACTTCAGACCAGTCTGCCACAGTAAACATCATTTGTGAAACACACTCACGTCATCTGTAACATTTAGAAAGATCCATATGAAAACTGCTAATGCAAGTGTGATAACAACCCTTGCAGAAATTAATCCAGCATCCACTATTTTCAGCATAGCTTGGGCTGCAGATTGATTCACCTTGACAAAGCAATGGAGTGTTTTATGTTCTTTTATTTCCTGATGCCAGATGTTCACATCACAGATCAGGGCGGGGGGGGGGGAGTAAACTAGCTACAGCTTGTTATCATATTCTTCCACCAGCACAGTGTGCACAGAAATAATCAGGATACACGTTGAAAGAGGGCAGATATTTTTTACCTTTTTTATGTTTGAAGCAAAGTCATAACCAATTCATGCTTATAAATGTTTATGCTACAATGAAATTTAATACTGGTTATTTCTTAGGGACTACAAGTTGAATAGCAGCCAGCATAGGAGTTTCAGGAGCCAAAAAAACACCAGAGACCTGGGTTCAGAATTATCACATAGTAAAATTTAGTGCCATGCAATCTTTCAAATAGTGAAAAGGCTCTGTATGATGAAGGTAAAGAAATTCTATGACAAACAGTGCTACTCTTGAGCTGGATGCTATTACTTCATCTCCAGTCTATGACACAAAAAACAAGTGCTAGCATTTTCCTCACCTTGACAAGCAGTGACCTACAGTGAAGTACTGATTAAAAAACTAGGGGTTTACCAAGTTGGCATAGGTATTTTCATGGTTGTTAATACTGAAAAAAAGGCTAACAAGCCTTTCAAAAGGACTCTGAAGTAAGTAAAAAGAAAAAATATAGAGATCTGTGAAAACAAACTGTTCCTACCATGAGTTAATTAAAAGTATTCTTCCATTGCTGTGAACTCATGCAGTTTTATTAGTGGTCCTGGAATGGTTGCACATATTCACACAGACTAGTTTGTTACAAGCTAGGTAAACTATGTACCAAACTAAATCCAAACTCACACATGTCAATGCACCTCCTGTATTTAGAGCCTTTGGGAAAGGGGTGAAACTGGTTTTGTATATATTACATTATTTACAGATGATCAGAGTTAAAATTCCCTTCTGTTCAACAGTTACCTCTATCTCTATGATACGATTTAGAGAATTGTATAATGGTGATATTGATATAAGAGGGGATCTTGTCTGTACATAAGGCATACTGGGAAAGGTGTCTTTTTCTTTTTTAATCATGTTGGGCAGGTTTGCTGCATCTGAACAACTGCTTTCCCTTAACAGCCCATTAATTAAACCTGATTCAATTAATGGAGAGACAATGAATGGCAATACTGTGACTAAATATTTTAGTCTTCACAGAAAATATTGAAACACTGGTATTAGTACTGAGCTACTTGGTAAATCTGCTAGAAATAAAAACTCAAGTAAAAAATAGACTAAAAAGCCTGCTTATTAACATGTTTGGTGGCTGATTTTTCAGTGCCAGTATTTCCAGTGCAAACAGTGGTTTTGAGCAAGAAAACAATATTCTCCAATCTGCATACATACACATTGGAGACATCATGCTCTGTACCCTTTATACAAAAAGAAGTCATACAAACTATTGCTGACAGTTTTATTACAGCCAGATTTCCCTTTGCCGATGAAAAGAAAATGGAAGTGATTGTTACAGTGATTATGCAAAAAACCGTCCACTTTCATTACCAGATGGTTTGCAAAGCAGAAACAATCATTCACAATAGAAGCTACAATAGAGCTTTAGAGACCTATTTTGGGGACCTGCTGTAGGAAACTGAGTGAATATTTGTCATTTTCTATACTATCTGGTTTATTTAAGAGGAACGAGGGAAACAAAGTTGCAAGAGAAAACAACAAATTTTAAATAAAAGCTTTTCCAAGACATTGACAAAACACATAGTAACATTTCTTCCCGTTGAGAAGTTCATTAACCAGCTTATGTGTGCAATAACAAGAGCATGGACCAGTAATAGGAGAGATCACAGCTACTCCCATGCTCCCATGAACACAGGAGGCAATGAGGGACGGCATCAGTCAACTGGAGAGAACCGATCTTGAAGCTCTAACAGCTGGACTTCCAAAAAGTATTGTTTTACTCGAAAAGGAGCAGATACAAGAAAAGCATTCAATAAATGGAAACAATAAACAGGTAGACAGCTGCAGGTGTATCAAGAAACAGCAGGGGAACCTGCATTTCAGACAAGTATGCACTTTTAAGGCTCAGATTCATGCCGTGCTGTTGTGGAGATGAAGCCGTTCACCTTCAGGCACTGCCTGCTCCATCTGCCAGCTTCATGCAGAGAGAAGGAGTTCCTTTCCAAAGCACTATTTTACCCAGCAAGGGACTGGCTGTCCAATGGCCATATACAATCTAAATAGATTACAGGGAAAATAGCAGAGGAATGGAATTCCTCAGTGGCTTTTTTCTCCTGAGTGATATGCATGAGCACTCAGTCTTTTAGGTCATACTGCTTTAGCTCTAAAAGATTATGGATTCATAAGTAACGGTGTGGTGTATTTTAACACTACAGGGGTTTTTCATCTGCCTGCATTGGGTACTTTTACCTAAATAAAATAATCTGGGATTAGAAACGTGTAACTGCAAGGACAGGACAGCAGTGCTCAGGCATCAGCCACCCTGTGAAGCATGTCCCCACACACAGAGGTCTCCGCACTTGGGCCACCCCACTGCTGGGCTGTTTCAGAGGCAAGAGCACGCCTGGGCTGTGCTTGGTGAAATAAAACGGGTCGTTGTTACCAGGGAGAAGGGAAAACGTAAGGAAGGAAGGTGAGGAGAGCAAGAGAGGCCGTGGGAGAGAAGGGCTGCCGGGGGGGTATGGGGCTGCCAGGGAAGGAGGCAAGCGTGGGGTTAGGGAGCACGGCGGGTAGGGAGCGGGGCACTTCCTGGACAGGCGGGAAGGTCCCGTGAGGGGAGGAAAGCAGCTCCCGGCGACACTCACTCCGCACCATGGCCGCCCCTCTCAGCTCCCCGCCGCCGCCATTACAGGACGCCGCTTCGCTGCCATGGCGACGGGGCCGGGCGGGAGGCGCTGCTGTGGGGTCAGGCCCCGCCGCCGTGCGGCTCAGTCCGGTCTGTGCTTTGTGCCCGCTGAGGCACTGCTCCGCCTGCCCATGAGGTAAGACGGCTTTGCTATAGCGCTTTGACCGCTCCTGCCCCCGTGGGCACTCGTGTACGAAATGCCTCCTCCTCACTTCGCTGTTTATGACTCAGGGCTCAACTATGCAGCAAGTCAGAAAGCAGAACTTCGAAGCAGGCATTAGTCCTAAGCCGGTGGTCTAGAGCCCATGGGGCAAAGCTAGACGCTGAAGTAGAATAATCACACTGGCTTCTTGTACTTAAAACTGCAGGCGTTTCAGGGTGAGGTTTATAATCCATGACCTTCATTTTACTAGGACTAATGACATAGTGACATTGTTGTGCTAAAACCCTTGGATGCTCCAAATCCAAGACTGTTGCTGTAATAAGGCTGTGCTGTCTTGTTCCAAACTTCCGCTGTCCTCAATTCAAAGACTAAGGGTTCTGCCTGATTGTCTCGTTGCGCTTGAGGCACGCCGAGCTCATGATCCCTGACACAGTTGCAGAAACAACATCCTTTTGAGCTTCATTTTTGCACATAGAAATTGAGATAAGCCCAGATGCAGGCTGCGTGGAGACCTCATAGCAGCCTTCCAGTATCTGAAGGGGGCCTATAGGGATGCTGGGGAGGGACTCTTCATTAGGGACTGTAGTGACAGGACAAGGGGTAATGGGTTAAAACTTAAACAGAGGAAGTTTAGATTGGTTATAAGGAGGAAATTCTTTCCTGTTAGGGTGGTGAGGCACTGGAATGGGTTGCCCAGGGAGGTTGTGAATGCTCCATCCCTGGTAGTGTTCAAGACCAGGTTGGACGAAGCCTTGGGTGACATGGTTTAGTGTGAGGTGGCCCTGGCCATGGCAGGGGAGTTGGAACTGGATGATCTTAAGGTCCTTTCCAACCCTAACTATTCTATGAGTCTATGATTCTATGTTTTTAGTTTCAGCAGCGTTTTGGATTTTACACAGTCAGAAGAATTTTCTGTGTAAAATGTGAAAGAATGGTAATTCATAAATCCAGCACACACACACTTGCTTTCAGCATGAAGGCCTATGTGCCTTAAAATGTTTTATGCCTCAAAATGTTTCATTGAACAAACTATTTGAAGCTGCACAACATTAACACAATAGACATACACAAAACTTGGTGTAATTTGCACTCATGGTGTTGTACAACTTCTCAGGAAAATTTTGCATTCATTTATTTTCAACCTAATCACAAATTTTATATTTGCATACATTGACCTTATTGTGTTCATTATTTTCATGCATGAATAATGCTCCTCAGTCACATTATGACTAAGAGTTTTAAGCAGCACAAGCTCAAGTTCTTAGCATGAAGCAATGTACATTACAGAGGTAATGTAAAGAGCCACATCACAGTCAGGAGGATGGAGTGACCAAGAAGAGAAAGGGTACCATCTGGCATGCCCTCCCTGAAGGAATTCACTGCACCACTTTAATACGTTACAAGTTTATTTGTTAAATGTGTAAAACAATGCAATATAAAATATATTTGTCATGACAAAAATAAGCTTTATAGAATTATTATTACAGTGCATCAGAAGTACTTTGAGTATGTGCTCACTCCATCAGTACATACTCATGTAAGGTGCTAAAGACCCAGCAAATTGATATCTGAGGTTAAACCTTAGCTGTTAAATCGCTTCAGGTCAGAGTCTTGGCTGGTGGAAATTAACTGACTAATACACACTCAGAATATGAACCTG